TGTCTGTGCTCAGTGTTCCTGGTTGTCGATGTCTCTTTGTCTCTGTCTGTGTCTCTCTTGTCCTTTCTTTTTTTTATATCACTATCTTTTTTTTTTTCTCTCTCTCTCTCTCTCTCTCTCTCTCTCTCTCTCTCTCTCTCTCTCTCTCTCTCTCTCTCTCTCTCTCTCTCTCTCTCTCTCTTTCTCCCTCCCACCCTGTTTACCCCATACGTTTTAACCTCCCAACTGTCGTGGACTACGTGTTTGCACGAGCACGGACATTCCAGCATCAGATCCCAAGATGTGACAACCTTCTCCCAACAGTCTGTGACATGACATGTCGTGGTCGTGGTGTGTGTTCTTAACGCTGTCTCTACCTTTTTGGGAGCCCCACTCCCTTGGCCAGCAGAGGAAAGAAGTTTGAGGACTTTTTTGTCTTTAATTACACCAACACTGCGGGTTATTCCCCTTATTTTTACACCTGTACTTCAGTGGTTCACCCGAAATAGATTTTCGTCTGTTCTCGGCGCAAATTTGTTTTGAAGGCCTGGTCCAACTTATCGTCTCCTTAGAAATGTTGAGGTGTATTTACAGCTAATGGCGAGTAGTTACTCAGAGGGAAATTAAATGCAGCGGTGCTCCTCCTACTTCTCGGAGCGGATGGCCATGGTTCAAATCCGTAATAGGGATGCGCTTGTACTTGGATTGTTATGGGAGTTTTACAGACTCTCTATCCGTCTGGCTCGCTCCTATCAGAGATGGACGTTAAATATGGCTGTCCTATGTCTTATGTGATTTGCTGGTGTTTTTGTTTTAGTAAGAGTTTTACAGCCCTTGCCACACAATATAAAAACTATTAATCTTTGGTCCTAATCTCTCCCCCTTCTTGTTTGTGTTTGTTTTTCTCTTGTAACACCTCTAATCCTTCGCACTCATAAGGCCTAATTATGTTGCAAGTGCCGTAAAACGCTTACTAAAACTAAATAGAAGAAAAGGATGAACGGGTAGGTGAGAGGGTGTGACCTCTGTGGGTAATTCATGAGCTAATATCAGCAGAGGGGATCTGGTTTAACCTTCTCTAGCTAGCCAGAAATACGCTGCTACATCTCCATAATATTACAGCGAAGTCGTGGCTGATGAGATCGTGTAACAGCTGGGCTGTGGGCTGATTACTTTATACCTTTGTGGGTATACATCTGGTGGTGTTCTCCCCTCTCTTCCATTTTCGCTCTCTGGATTCTCTGTCTGACTTCGTGGATTTGGAACTTCTTGACCAACACATGTAAGTTTCAGGTTCGAGTCTGAATAAGGGTCGTCTTTTTTTTTCCTCTACTGTGCTATCTGGAGTTATAGTTTTCTCTTAGTCAGGTGGAAGTGCACCTTGCTATATGGGGGAAAGTGGAAACGTTTAATTTGAGTCAATTCCATCGCAACAGCCTGTTGTTTGTTTTTTTCAGA